AGACATTGTCTCTCAAATCCTAGAAAAATGTTCGTGACCTTTTAGGTGAAAAAACACAGAAGCAAACTATGTATGATTCAAATTTTATTACAAAAATGTATGTTTCTAAAATACAGACCTGCAAGCATGCACATCTATAAATACCAAACACACGTGGGCTATCACGGGAGTGCACCAGGGAGGCTTTAACTCTTTTATTATACACTCTTCTGAACGTTTAATTTCTTTTTCTTTACTTTTTTTGAGACAGGGTCTCACTCTGTTACCCAGGCTAGGGTGGGTGACAATCACAGCTCACTGCAGCCTCCACCTCCCGGGCTCAGGTGAGCTTCCCACCTCAGCCTTCTGAGTAGCTGGGACTACAGGCGTCCGTCATCATGTCTGGCTAATTTTCGTATTTTTAGTAAAGACGGGGTTTCACCATGTTGCCCAGGCTGGTCTCTGACTCTGGGCTCAAGCAATCTGCCAGCCTCAGCCTCCCAGAGTGCTAGGATTATAGGTGTGAGCCACCACGCACAATCCCACCCCCTCTCCACAGACAAGGTCTCATTCTGTCACTCAGGCTGGAGTGTAGTGGCGTGATTGCAGCTCACTGCAGTCTCAACCTCCTGGGCTGAAGAGATCATCCCACCTCAGTTGCCTGAGTAGCTGAGGCTACAGGCACAGGATAACATGACCAGGTAATTAAAAATTTTTTTTTTGTAGAGACAAGGTCTTACTATGTTGCCTAGGTTTGAACTATTAATTTCTTATGATGCATGCTCCAGTTGTAATTTTAAGAAATTAAATATAGTGTTAAGCATTATGATGCTGCTAAAAATAACACTTTTTTGCATACTGAAAAGTGACAACATCAACAAATCTTCAACTCTAGGAGAAATGAACAGAATTCTATGGATTGGCCACTAATACTCTTCGTTTTGAGCTTTGACACGGATTCGGAATGACTCTGGACTGAAAATTTATCAATTTATTTTGTGTTTCCCATTGTTATCTATTTACTTCTTTATATTGATACAACGGTTAGTTGGAGAGGTGTAATAATTGGGTGGGGGCATCACCCAGAATAATGAAGATGAAAATTTAGGTTGAAAACAAAAGACCATTTGTACAATTTCTGTGTGGCATCATTTGTTCTAGATCTACATTTCTATTTCTGGAAATACTCTAACAACAACATCAGTCAGCTTTCGTTGAGCATTTATACTCTGTGCTTTACTCCTATTGACTCACTGAATCTTCATTACAACCCTGTGAAGGAACAAAGACAATCTTGTTCTAGTGACAGAGAAAGAATGTGAACCCACACTGTCTGGTTTCAGAGCCCAAACTCAACAACTTCTTTAAATTAGAATACTGTGTTAGGTTCATATAAGTGATCATTTATATGCTGGTTTTTGGTAGGTGTCAGACCCAAATTCCCTACTGTTTTATTTGGGGGAAGAAAGCATTGAGATGAATACCCTTCTATACTCCAGTATATCTTTTGGTACAGAAATGCATTCTAGACTGTGGTGAGTGCTATTCTCTATGGCATGGTGTACACAGGCATGCACGGTGCACCCTGAGCCACCTGGATTCTGAAAGCTTCTAAGTGTTGAGAATCTCCACTTTACTATACCAAGTTGCTTTAATTTTCAGTACACGTAACAAATGCCAGATAACAAAAATGGAACACTCTGCGTTCATTTCCTAATTCATTCCTCACTAGAACTTGGTGAACACACAAATATGATGTGTATTACAGAAATACTTTAAAGTTGTTCTTGTGTGCGCTGAGAGGGGCTGCCATTGTGACTAAATAAGTGCTGTTAAAAATATTTATTGTTTTGTTCACAAGTGCTGTAGGTCTCCTGTATTTTAGCTGATTAATTAGGTGTTTGCTAACAAGGTCGGATCTAACCAGTGATGTGTGGCATGTCAGTGTAACTGGAAATAGACCAAAAAACACTGTCACACAGCCAGACCAAACTTGCTCCCTGGTCTCCGTGCTCAGGGGGTCAGCAAATTACTTCACTATTACAGCTGAATATTTTTGGCAAGAATGTGAAATAGAAACCCCAGTTTGGGGAGGAGGGTGGAAGGCTGGGAACAAAATGCTTTTATAATGGATGATCCATTGTGCCATCTGTGTCTGGAGATATTTAAGAATTTTATTTTGACTTCATCTGACATCATGATTTTTAAAAGGATGTCAAAAGCAGACATGGCATGAGTTCCTGCATACTCTGTTTCAGTCCACAGATCATTTTAATCCTGTTTATTCTAAAATGACTTCTCTGTATCTTTATTAGACTCTTTGGATTCTAAAAGGCAAAACCCCACACGTGAACTGTCGCGTTCAGTTTTTTCTTCCACAACAAACTAACTGTCCTATAGCACAGATACTGAAAATTAACAATAATTGAGGTTTGAAAGTGGAAACCAGCCGGGCACAGTGGCTCACGCCTGTAATCCCAGCACTTTGGGAGGCTGAGGCGGGCGGATCACGAGGTCAGGAGATTGAGACCATCCTGGCTAACACGGTGAAACCCCGTCTCTACTAAAAATACAAAAAATTAGCCGGGCGTGGTGGTGCGCACCTGTAGTCCCAGCTACTCGGAGGCTGAGGCAGGAGAATGGTGTGAACCTGGGAGGCGGAGCTTGCAGTGAGCCGAGACGGCGCCACTGTACTCCAGCCTGGGCTACAAAGCGAGACTCCGTCTCAAAAAAAAAAAAAAAAAGGAAAGTGGAAACTTAGGAAGATATAAAAATAATATATTTCAGTCTATTTTAATCATTGCTCCATCGGACACTAATAGTCAGAAAGACTGGAATTTCTGTGGATGGCTTACTTAAGTCTGTATTACACATTTTCAAGTAAAATTAATCTAATGCAAACTCTTTCCCAGGTCACACTGATTCATGAGAATTGGAGAGCCAGAAAGAGAAGCCAGGCAGTATGGTCCCAAGCTGAGGATAATGTTATACACTGTGAGAGGCAGTGCACGTGGTCACAAGCAAAATCAGGTTGGTGAGGCTCACAGGGAATTACTGTAAGTCATAAAATCATCCAGGTCAGTTTTCTGATAATTAGCTTCAATTTCAAGAAGGAAGGGTAAGCAGGAATCCCAATGAATACGAGAAAGAATAAGAAAGACAAAAATGTAAGTGCCTATCAGACCAGGTGCAGTGGCTAATGTCTGTAATCCCACCACTTGGGGAGGCTGAGGCAGGTAGATCACCTGAGGTCAGGAGTTCGAGACCAGCCTGACCAATATGGTGAAACCCCATCTCTACTAAAATACAAAAAGGTGGCTGGGTATAGTGGTGGGCACCTGCAGTCCCAGCTACTCGGGAGGCTGAGACACGAGAATCGCCTGTACCCGGGAGGCAAAGGTTGCAGTGAGCCAAGATGGCACCTCCACACTCCAGCCTGGGTGACACGGCAACTCTGTCTTTAAAAAAAAAAAAAAAAAAAAAGTAAGCACCTATCAAAATGAAGACCGGGAAAAGCCTCACTCCTCAACAAGTTCTTGTTCAAGTGTACCTTCTTTGCCCACCTCATCTCAAACAGCCCTCACCCTGACTACTACCACTTGCTGTTCCCACAACTGGAGTTAATTTCTTCACAGTATTTATCACTTCCATTTCAATGAAGGAAGGGTGAGCAGGTAAGCCGCAAAGGAACGAGAAAGACACATAACGCAACAACAGTACAGGCCTATCAGAGCCAGTGTGGCAAGGGTCTGTGCTAACTGTGCTGTAATCCCACCACCTTGGGACAGGGCGAGGCAGCAGCACTGCGTCAGAGTTCGAACCGTGCCTATGCGTGAAACCCCATCGTTCGCCAAGACATCACCCCAAGGTGGCTGGATAAGTACACGTGTGGACCACTGCAGTCCCAGTAGTCGGGCAGGCTGGGCCCACGCGACATCGCGGTACCATTCGGGCAAGAGGTTGCAGTGAGCAAGCATGCACCGCCACGACGCCGAGGCCTGGTGACACGGCACGTGCGGCGGTCGTGTAAAACAAACAAACAAAAATAAGCCTGATCAAGAGGC